GAGAGCGAGGAGGAAGTCGGGCTGCTGCATGTCCCAGCCCTCCTGTCTCCCCATTCAGCTGAGGATGTTGATTTGAGCCCACCAGACATTGGAGTAGCCAGCCTGGATTTTGACCCGATGTCATTTCAGTGCAGTCCTCCTAAGGCCGAGTCTGAGTGTCTGGAGGGTGGTGCTTCCTTTTTCGATTCATTGGGATACTCCAAGGACAGACAGAGTACCAACAACAAGGACTCAGAGGCGGGTGGCAGCCAGTCTCAGACTCCGGGAAGCGCTGCCAGTTCTGAACCTGTCTCTCCTGTTCAGGAGAAACTGAGTCCTTTCTTTACGCTGGACTTGAGCCCAACCGAAGAGAAGCCATCTAAGGCATCCTCGTTCACGGAGAAGGTCGTCTACGCTTTCTCTCCAAAGATTGGCCGGAAATTAAGCAGATCGCCCTCTATGAACATATCTGAGCCAATCTCAGTGACCCTTCCCGCTCGGGTGTCAGAAGTCATCGGTACAGCCTCAAACACGGCAGCTCAGGACGCACCTTCTCCAACCTGGAACAAAAGTGTCGAAGAAAGTGATGTTATAAACAGACCCCCCACCCAGGTAGTAAAGCTGAAAGCAAGTGAGAGAGAGGCCCAAGAAGGATGTGAGTCTGCGGCCCAGCCCCTGGGCCAGGTGGCGGCCACCGGTATGGAGTCGCCAGGGAAGGAGGAGGAGCCTGCCTCTGCCTCAAGCGGTCAGAGTAAGGCTGTGCCTCCTGGACAGACTCAGACAGGTACCGTGTGTTTTCCTCTGTTCTTCTTGTGAGCTAGCAGGGACCTTCAGTCTTGTGTGCCATCTGTGCCTTTTAAGAGAGAAGTTGACTCCACAGCTAGCCTTTAATCAGACAGAGTGGTTTTCTAGGTGGTGCTGAAGGCTCCAAATCCTAAGTTAAAATCAGTCAAACAGAAATCCCCCAAAGGGCCAGTGGTCCTGCTTCACGTCTTCGTAACATCCCCTTATCTCCTTGGACAGTCAGAATTCATGGATAATTTTCGCACAGTTTCGTAGCTCTTGATTCTGTTCTTTCTTCTGATAAAATATCTATATTATAGCCTTAACAAGTTAACCAGCCAGCCTACACCATCAAATGTAGACGCTATTCTTAATAAACTGCCTGCAAGCACTTGAAGCTTGTTTTCTAAGCAGTCCTTTCTGAGCCCCCTGAGAGACCTGCTTCACCCCATCTCTTTAGCAATCCAAGAGGGGATTGCGGTTTAAACACTCTTGTTTTAGTTTTGCTTCCGAACCAGATGTGTTTTCTACAGCATTTGCATGTGGGATAGAAGATTGTGGATTGCCGATCTGAAATATGGAAGGCACCTGTTTTTAGTGATCAGATGGGGAGTGTTTGGCTTTCCGTGCAGGATAACACAAGCTACCTTTTCACTCTCATTTTTTTTCCCGATTTCCCACCAGGAGCAGATAACCATGACCCTCCTCAGGATCCCGTTCCTGTAAGTTCAGTCTCTCTTATCCCACCACCACCGCCTCCGAAGAACGTTGCCCGCTTGTTGGCGCTAGCGTTAGCCGAGTCTGCGCAGCAAGCCTCCGCCCAGCCCCCGAGGAGACCAGGGCCACTCCAGGGTGCCTGTACAAGTTACGGAGGCCTGGCAGTGGCCGCAGCTGAAGACGGGCTGCCTGCTTCCCACTCCAGTGTCACTGCAGATAGAGCCTTCTTCCAGACTGACATGCCCACAGAGCAGCCCCACCTCCAGGATGGTGACCAGCCAGCACCGGGTGCAGCAGCTGTCGGGGATTACACCCACTCCTGTGCCACGGAGTCTGGGGGGCAGCCCCACCCAGCAGACTTCCCAGGCAGTCAGCCACATCGAATTTATTTATCTGGGGACCCAGAAAAGGCCGGAGCCACTTCAGTTCCCTTAACAGACTCTAAATCTGATGATCACCTAAGTTTCCCTGAAGACCAGTCTGCGAAGACCAGTGTTCTGACTGTCTCCTTTGTGGATCAGGACCGGTCTCAGCCTCGTCTCTACAGTGGGGAGCAGCCTTCTTCTTATCTTGGTGCAAGTGTGGATAAGCCCCATCACCCTTTAGAACTTGCAGACAAATCGTCCACACCTTCTAATTTGCCCAGAGACAAAGTCTACCCTCCGCCTGGGTCCCCTGAAGAGGACACCAGCACAGCCCCCGTGGCTTATGTGACGACTGTTCCGACAGCAGCCGAGATGAGCGCCAGGGAAGCCGGCTGGGATGTGGTCGAACAGCCCAGCGCAGTGGATTTTGCAGTCGCCACCCTCCAGCGCACTCACAGAACTAGCCGTCCCCTTCCACTGCCTCCTTCCCAGAGAGCCACAGAGCAGCTGCCAGGCCCGGGGCAGGGACAGGCAGCAGCCAGCGTGGGAGTTCACAATCCGCACAAGGTAAGAAGGGGAGGCAGTCAGTGAGATGAAGTGGGCTTTTCCCGAAGGTACCTCGCTTTCCAGCAGGGGATGTTGTTACTTTGAGTAGCTCTGACATGTTTTTAGTCCCGTGGCAGGTTTCCACGAAGCATTTCCCATTTGAGGTTGGGATCTGCCTTTATCTTGATGCTGGGTTGTTTTTTTTTTCTGAAAAAGGAGCACTTACTCGATGGCTCTGGTTTAACTATACCTGCTGCCTTTAGTTCCTAAAGTGTGGGTCGTGTCCTCACAGACATACAAAGAGACTGTGATCACACACGTCCAGCTGGGCTGCAGGTGTCGGGCTGCAGGGTTTTTCTCCGCTCCATCACTGACTCACTGTGACTCTGGGGCAAGTCATCTTAGCATCTCTGCCAGTGGTTCACGTCTGCCTGACGGAAGTGCTTTATTCTCAGGACATTTGTGAGACGTTCTGCCTTATAGACGTTTTAGAAATGTCAGAGGTCACAGTGTTTTAGGACTTCTTATTTTCTCAACATGAACCAGCAGATTGTTCTGTAATTAAGCACTTGTACCGATGAGTGAATGTTAAATGCAAAATATTAAGGTTTCTTCCTAATTTTCTCATGTTTTAAAAAAGTGCCCAGGAGGAGAGGGTATAGCTCAGTGGCAGAGCGCATGCTTAGCAGGCACAAGGTCCTGGGTTCAATCCCCAGTACCTCCATTAAAAAAAAAATGCCCCAGGTTTTTTGTGGTCACCTTGAACTAAAAGGATTTCAATACCTAATCTTTTGGGGAGGATGCTATTTCTAGCAACTGCTTCTCAAGGAGAGAGTATTTGCAGTGAGGACCACGTTTGGCCTCTGCTGCCACTGGCCAGGCTGACGTAGAGGCGGGAGGGAGACAGTGGCCGCATCCTTGGACCAGTCCCTTCACTGTCCTTCTGGAGGTCAGGGGGCTTAAAACTGCCCATTGTGGGCAGCTGTGAGTCACTCCACATACTTTTCCAGATAGAATCAACTCTGTTTCCTTAGCAAAATGTTCTTGGCGTTGAGACTGAGCTGGACAGATAGACTGGGTATGTATTTTTAAGCCTGACTGTTACTTGACCAAACTTTTGTTTTGGTCTGCACATTGACATAACGTCACAGGCAGCCTCCTCTCATATGTAAAGCCTGTCATAAATTAGAACAGTTCTCCAGAGATGGTGACAGCTGCTATACCAGGTGGCAGTGGGGACAGATCAGCCTCTGTCCTGTTTAATATGACCACGTAGCTTGGGGAAATTTCAAGCTGCTACCCAAATAGACTCAACTTGTGAGTTATAAACTTTTAATAGTGTTTGAGTCCGTAGAGGGGAGCATAAAAAACAAACTCGTAATATTACCGTCTTTCACTAGGTTCCAGGAGTAGTTCCAGCTCTGGAGAGGCCGCCTGAACCCAGGGCCGCGGGCGACCCTGCGCCCGTCCTCGCCAGCGATGGCACCGCCGCGCAGTGTCCCGCCGCGACCCCTGCCCTCCAGC